AACAGTGTATCCTTCTCTCCGGATAGTACCCAACTGGCATCGGGCAGCGATGACAAAACAGTGCGGCTGTGGTCTCTCAAGAATTTAGATCATAATCCACACATTCTAGAAGGACATACTAATAATGTTAATAGTGTATCCTTCTCTCCAGATGGTACTCAACTTGCGTCGGGTAGTGATGACTTAACGGTGCGACTGTGGTCTTTAATGAATTTAGAACAAAATCCACACATTCTAAAAGGACATACTAATGATGTTAACAGTGTATCCTTCTCTCCGGATAGTACCCAACTGGCATCGGGCAGCGATGACAAAACAGTGCGGCTGTGGTCTCTTAAGAATTTACATCAGAGTCCACGCATCCTAAAAGGACATACTGATGTTATTTATGGTATATCCTTCTCTCCAGACGGCACCCAACTTGCATCGGGCAGCAATGACAAGACAGTGCGGCTGTGGTCTACAATATCCGATCACTGCCTAGCCGTTATATATCTTCCCGGAATAGTTTTTAGCCTTGATTGGAAGAATACAAAGGCGGGAGACCTTCTATTAACGGGTAGTACTGATAGGGCCGTTCGTTTGTGGCATGTAAAAAGGATAGACGACCATACCTCACGAGTCACTTTACATTGGACCTCACTTCAAAATATATTATGGGTTTCTGAAGCATGTATTCGAAACGTGAGAGGTTTAACTTCAATAAATATGCGCCTCTTAAAGCAAAGAGATGCCATTGAAGACTAGATAATTTACTTTAATGAAATTAATTAATTATAATAATAACAAGTACAGTATTTACAATAGTATTTAGTAATAACAATTATTTATTAAGGTAATATACTACAAAGGATATGGGATGTTTAGTACTAGATCTTTAGGATATTAGACATACTGTAAGTGAACGAACATATTATTAAACGTTCATTTCGAATAGACTCAAGTGACATGTATTCAAAGCAGCGTGCCGCCGAATAAACTCTGCTCATTAAGTTACTCGACCAAGCAATCGCCTCAGTTATAAAGATGCGGTAATAAATGCAGAATAGGACGAGTAATGAACGTAATACCTGTAAAAACTCTCATTACCACAATGCTATTCTCTAAAAATTTTTATAAGCAAATGAACGAAGTTTTACAGGCGGAAAATTGAACATTTTTATTTGGTAGTTTTTAAAACTTTAGTGGGGAAGAAGGAAATATATGCGGAGAGTGAAAGTGTATTTTACTGGAAGGGGAAAACTGATATTATCTTAAAATAAAATTATATCTGTTAAACTAAACTGGTCATCGATTCTGCCTAGGGAAAGGGAAAGTGTTATCCTTTTGAATATGTATGATGACATGTATTGTATGTGAGAATTTTCTTTAATAATAAACTTTTTCGTTTCGGAAAAAGTAAACCTCACAATATTAATATAATTTCAAATGATCTCAAGAAACGTGAACGATTCTTTTAGTTCTAGTGGAGAACGTTTGATAGCGAGAGTCGCAAGAGCCTCTTTCATTCCTGCTCTAAGCGATATTCAGATTTTTTAATATTGTTTTTGCTTTCAATATCAATTTAAAAAAATAATAAGGGATATGCCATTTAATATTTCACTTGTAGTTTTCTAGAGAACCAAATGCCTTCATGATTTGAAAACGTAATTCTGCATACTGTTTAGGAATTTGTTAAACTAAATGGACGCAAGTTATATGTAAATTGTATCAAACCCCATCTTTTATAATATCTAAAAATAGCTTACGCAAAACCCATTTGTTTTCAGTATATTCTCATCTCGAAAAATGGTTATTGAAAGATCGATTACCTTCACCAAAGTTGTTATAAATAATAAGATGTTCGATACTATAGAAATGCATTCATTATAAGAAAATAGAAGATTCTTGTATAATAACAAATGTAACAAATTTTATGTAATACCTTATTATATTATACATGTGCTCGGTGCATGAGGGTATATTATATAAGTTTTAAACTCAAGAACATAAAACTTTAAAAATTATTGTTATATTAAAATCTAAACAAGTTTAAGTTTTTGGGATTTGATTATATAGAATAAAGATTTGTGATAAATTTTCTTTATAATGTTATCTTTATGCATCTTTCTTCTTTACCTACTATTATTGCTATTTTTATTATGCATATAGTGAATTTTGTTAAACCAAACCACATTATATCATAGTACCAAATAATTACCCCAATAAATCAAAGAGAGAGTAAAATCAGTCATAGTGATCTTACCGTGATAAGCCAAATTACTAAGTAAACTCAAGATTTTCGAAAGCAAATAAATAAGTTCCTAAATAAATAAACAAATAAATATACTGTATATATAAGCAAAATGTGTATTGATAAGATTAAGAGTATTGTAAATAAAATTTACAAATGTATAGAAATATATAAAAATATTAAAAAAATTTTTGATTTCTTTTTTTTTGCATCACCAAACTCTTTTTCACTAACTGAATATCCGCTTCAACATCAAGTCCGAAAGACCTTATCCCAACCATTAACCTAATAAAATCTGGTTATGGGACGTCAAGAAAGAGTATTATTTGATTTTCAGAGTTTGCCAACTTGTTCGCTCAAAAAAAAAAAAAAGTAAATTGACTTACGGCGTTAATTTATATGGTTTATTTTCATGTAAGAACGTCGCCGTTCCAGGTCTTTACAAATGCTACAAAACATCAAGTTTTTTAAAATAAACTTCATGTCATCAACGCTAACTAGTCTGGATTAAAGTTTAATCTTTTCCTGGATAAACGTTAGGTAATTGTGGACTTTTGTTTTTATTAGAACCCGCCTGCGTCTTATTTGTTTTTTTTTACAGAACAAGCGCACTTTCGGATGCATGTATAACTGATCTTGCCAAAAAAAAATGCATGTTTGAGTTTGATCGATTATATTCAAACTAACAAGTTACAAAGAAAATTACCTACCGTGCTACAGTGTTGACAAACCTGTTAAAAAAAGTACCCAAAATAATTCGAAATTTTTGAAAACTACGTGAGATCAAGGACAGTAATAAATATGTCTGTATTAAGTTACGTTCATTGGGTTAATCGAGTATGTCCGAAATCAAAATCCTCAAACAGCAAAGCCACGTTCCAATAATAATTGATATTGCGGTGAAAAAGTACGTTGTATGCATGCTTTATAGTAAAATTAAATTATATATTATGTGGGATTCAAATTAATAATTTGACATGCATCATTGCATGCCACGCGACGCGAAGCTGATGATTTTATAAACATAATTATGCGTGTTTCATGACGTAATTTGAGAAAATGTCATTATAAAAAATTAAATATGGATGCTTTTTTTTTTTTTTTTGTATATACAGTATAATGTACCCGAGATGCACGAATGTAAACAAATAATAATAATTACTATAATTATTCTTTTCACTTACCTAAAGTTTTTTGTTATTCAAACATTAAAACATTAATGTGAAGAACTGAAAAATCTAAAAAAACATTGATTTTATAGAATGGCTTCGAATACAGGGTAAACATAGTTTATTAATTATTATTAAGAATACTTATCTGTTATGCGCAAGTTACGACGAAGGGTTTTACTATTCTTTATACCGGATCCACTTTGTAAATTAGTTTACCTAATCTTTTATTTTTATTACTATGACTTCGCACATTACAAACATTACAAGCGAGTCTGATCTCGATTTTTAGCATTAAAGTTTCTGATACTAATAAGGACGAAATGTTGACCCTCAACCATATGGCATCTTGTTACAAATAGATAATTACAATTCCGTAGTCGATAAACGCATAAAACAAAACACTGCATATTATAATTTTTTAATGAAGAAAGATCGGCCTAGTTTTTATCACAAGTTTTACGCTAACAAAACGACAGGAAGTTCAAAAAAAAAGAACCGATGGTTGATTGAAAACAAGGAATTTTAAAATCGATGTGTAATACTGTAAATGATTCTGAACGAGATCAAAAATTGTAATTTATTAGGTAAATTTAATGACACCATGCAATGTCTTATGAACAAAAATCATTTTCGTTTAAATGTAATCCAGACATTCATTTTGTGATAATGAACCAGCAATTATCTAAGGAAAAAATCGCTAAAAATTTTACACTTTTCGTTCTGAAATGATGTACACTAAAATACAAATGCTGATTGTGATAAGGGTAGTAAACGAAATTAATCGTCTTCTGTCTATATTTTCATCTATATATTTCTATAAGACGGTAAAATGAATTTTGCCCGTGATCAGGTTGAGTGAAAATGTCTACAAAATCTTTCTCACCCACCTCCTGTAATTGTCTGGAAGTTTAGACGGCATCAATGTAATTTACCACCATCCTCACTGCCACAACTTCTCGGAGATCTAGGTAAGAAGTTTGTCGTGTGGCGTTTCTAATGTAATGCTAGAGTATTCGTGTGTGCGCATTGAGTTGTGGTTACCATCGTGCGGCCTGACCCAAAGTTTTGCTGTTTATTATACCGTTGGTGACTGTGATCTTTCCATAACACCGAGGTCATCACGAAATTCTGGGACAATACCTCTTCTCGATTCTTCAAAGGTATTATCATACGTAGAAAATATGGGCAATGCCGTTGACTCGATAGCCGAAGATATCGAAAGTACTGTTGATAATTCTTCCGCTAATGATTTACTGTCCGCATTATCATCAGTTGCTGATAAATTATCGTTATTAGACAACGGTGTAGACCTGAAGGAAATTTCAGAGCTCGCACTCTCAGGCGATAACTCATTACTCGACACACTCTCAAACACATTTCTAACATCTTTAATACTACGGTCCTTATTGTTTTTGTCAACATCACCCGCGACGTTCGCCGACCTTGAAACAGGCGACAACGGAAATGGATGGTTCAATTCACTAAATGCTGTAATCACAGTTGGAATGCGTGATAACGAAGGTCTCAACTTTGGTCGTGGTCCTACTTCATCATCGAGAAAGTATTCTTTATTCTGAAAGGGATCACTATAAATGTTAAAAGGATCATTGGGAGATTCATTGCCATTTACTGACATTCCCGAAAAATCCGTGGTTTTGATTTTAGGAAGTTCACTCGTTTTGGCTCTTTCCATGACATTTGAATGCTGATGTGATGATGCATTTTTAAATGAAGTATCTTCGGCAAATGCGTCGGCAAATGGATCATCATCTTCGGTGGTGAGATCAACAAGAGCGTGTGTAGTATCGTGTGACGGCATACCTTGTTCATAACCACCAGCAGCCAAAAATTCGGTGGTACCATTAGTCAAACTTCGATTTTCATTAAATCCGTCCTCCATCATTTCACTACCGTTGCTCCCATTCGTTCTGATTTCTCGCATGGAACCTTGGCCATTCTCGCCAAGTAAAGGTTTACGTCTATTATACTTTAAAAATTTCCTGCGAATGCATATCGCCAATCCAGTAATGGTCAAAGATAATATTGCAAGTGTGATGGCAAGGACCCACGGTGGCAAGTGTTTACTTGAATCTTTACTGTTGTCTGGTGTTGATATCGTAGTTGGGGTGGAGGCGGTTGCGACGGTATCAGTCGTGGCGGCACTAAGCATAGTGGCACTAAGCGTAGTGGCACTGTTCGTAGTGGCACTAATCGTGGTTGCACTAATCATGGTGGTGGCAGTAAAAAAAGTATTACTTTGACTACCGCTGGTACTTGTGATCGCGTTTTTATCTCCTGTGTTACCGTTGACATTCGTAACGCCTTTATTATCTTCAATGGCTGGGATGGCACCGTTAGTGCTGGTGCTTGTAGGGATGCTATCGGAACGTTTGGTGGTTTCTGTAGAGCTTTTTGCACTTCTATTCGGCGAGGTTTTACTTTTAGATATACCTACGCTACCAATAGTCCCTGTGGTTGGTAAGGTTATAATGGGTATGGAACCTGTTATTTGAGCCATTTTTTTCGTCGAGACTGTGGACGTGATTTTTAGATTTTTTTTCGTCGTCGAGACTGTGGACGTGATTTTTAGATTTTTTTTCGTCGAGACTGTGGACGTGATTTTTAGATTTTTTTTCGTCGAGACTGTGGACGTGAGTTTTAGATTTTTTTTCGTCGAGACTGTGGAAGTGAGTTTTGGATTTTTTTTCGTCGAGACTGTGGACGTGAGTTTTAGATTTTTTTTCGTCGAGACTGTGGACGTGAGTTTTAGATTTTTTTTCGTCGAGACTGTGGACGTGATTTTTAGATTTTTCTTTGTTGGTACAACTCTTGACACTTTTGTTTTTGTAGGTGGATGGTTGACTGTTGGTTCGACCAAAGATTCTCGCGAAATTAAATTCTCTAAAAAATTTACATTGAACATGGATTCTTTATTACAAAGGATTGTCAAAGTATTTTAATGTCCACCGTTAACAGAAAGCTACAGAGAGGAAAAGTGGGAGAAAAATCAAGAGGTGTGAAGGATGAAGGGAATGTATATTAAAGGCCCCTGTTGCATCTGTTACAGATTTACTAGACTCCCTAATAACTATCGATCAATCAATGACTGCTACACATTAGAATATGGGTGTCGTTAGTATTAGAATTTGGAAGTATGGTGTAGACAATTGATCATTTGAGGTTAGCAATGTATTTTGCATCGAGGGAATCTTGAGTTATGCTTTCATATATTTTATTTTCATTCCAAATTAGGAAACTCAAAATCGTCCGTGTAGCGTGAGATAATTTATATTTAGCACTTTGTCATTGGGTTAATATTCAGACTATTGATCATTTGCAGCTACGAACACAATAAAGGTAAGCGACATATTGAATCATGAAAATCATATGTTTTCTATATGCGTATTAATAATGATGTGTGACAATACGGAAGATTAGAAGAAAGGCAATCGTTTCATCGATCCATTTTCTTTCGCAATTTACGGATGCATATTCTTTGAGCGGTTTTCGGGAAATATCGATTGATAATTAAAATTATTATGAAAAATACATCGACGCTGCAATTATCGTTCGAGACGTTAGGTTACACGAAAAAAAAAAAAATAGAAATTAAAGGGTAATCCCGATCTGGTTATTTAACTGTCAAGTCGTTCCTCGTACGACGTAGTTTGCAAAAAAAAATTTATCGATGATTATTTGTTAATAATTTTAATGTACTGCACACATCCTTAATTGCATTCTTTTAACATATCCAGTTTTATATACCATATAATAAATGACATTGTGTTTAATCAAATGAGAACCTGTGATTTTATTTCATGACTTTAATACAATCATTTTTCAATATACCGAACATCCATTTTTAATTTACAGTATATTGGATTTTCACGAAAAACAAATTTCACTTGTCATAAAATTATTTTCAAGATCTTTTTGTAATATATACACTTTAATACAAAGGTCTTTGAACTCTTGTTTCGATTTAAAATTCAAATAACCAATTAATAATGTAGTGTAATATACAGTATATACAGTATGTATTATTTCAATATTAAAATATTAAAATTAGATTTGAAAATATAAAAAATAATTATAAATTATTTGTTGTTAACTATAAAAAATAATTATAAATTGATTTTATTATTTTATCGAGAAAATTTATTAAATAGTAATTAATAGAATTATATATGTATATAATTTTTATTATAATTTTTTTATTCAGACAGTTTTACAATTACTAAAAAATTAATAAAAATTTTATCAAAAGATTTGATGGTCTTTTATATTATATCTATTAGAAAATTTTTAACAAATATTTAAATATGTAATTCAAAGATTTTCAAAAAAATTTTGATCTTATATAATCTTAAATATTTTATTTTAAAATATATTTTAAAAATATTATTAATTAAACTTGAATTTGATTTTTTTAAATAATCACTAGGATGATCTTTTAAATTAAATTTTATTTATTTAATTTTATTTAAATATTATAAAAATAATAATAAATTTTAAAATTATTTTTTTATTTATATTAAATATTATTATTATTAAGTTCTACAATAATACTTTTATAATAATATATGTTTTTTTATATTTAATCAATATAAAATATAATATAATTTTTATTATGAAATTTTTTTTAACTATTAAAAAATAATTATTAATTATTTTTCTATTTTTTTAAAAAAGTTTATTATATAATTTTTTATAATTTTTTATAATTAAACCATATATGTATTATACTTTAATTCTTAAAATAATAAACTATCAATATTTTTTTATTACTAATAATTGACTTTTATATTATTTTAATAAACTTATTATTTATCTAAATTAAATTTCAAAATTATATATTGAATTATATAATAGATTAATTCTACAAAACAATTAATTATTTAATTATATAAAAATATTATTACTACTATATACAAGTTGACTTTTAAGTTATAATTAAAATTAGTATATTTACTTTTTAAATATGACTTGATATATAGTAAATAAAGTATTATTTTATTTTATACTTTAATTGAATAATTATTTAAATAGTTAAATTATTACTTCTTTAACTAAACATTATTAATAAAAATTGATTTTTTATTTAATATACTTATAATTAATCTTTATAATTCTTTCTAAAACTGTTTTAGACTAACCAAATCTAATTCAAGTAAAAAAGAATATAGTTGTCTTTTATAAAATATTTTATATACAAAACCTTACTTTTAAATATTTGAATAATATATAATTCAAGTATAAAATAAAGAAAAAATAGAAAAAATATTTAAATATATGTAATAATTTATTAAAGAAAATATTTGAATATAAAATAAAATTGAAATTTCTTATAAATATTGTTATCTAATCATATATAATAGACTTATATTATTAAAGAATAAATAAAAAAATTTTGTTTTTATTATCAACTTATTTGTAAAAATAATTAAAATCTTTGATCTTTATATATTATTCTATTAAGTTTTTTAAAACTTAAATACTTTTAAGTAATAATAATTATATAACAATTTTTTTGAATATATATGATTTAACAATTAATTAATAAACAATATTAATTTATTTTAATTATTATTAAAGAGATTATCTTTGTAAATATAAAGTCCAAATCTAAGTTTTTTATGAATTCTTACTTCTTATTACTTGTGTTTAGCCAGATTGTTTAATTTCTATTGAAACAGTCAATATTCAAAAACATTTAAGAATACTTCCAGGAAAGTATTTTTTGAGATTTTATACTTGAAAACTTTTAATTAGAAAGGATGTTGATTTTTTATTGTTAATTTTTCTTTCAGTTTTAATTACCAATTGATTTAAATTATCAAATATAAAGACCTTTTGGTCAAGTGAAATATAACTTTTTAAAGAAATATAGATATATTAATAATGGAATTAGACTATAATATAATATTTTTTCTTTAATTTTCTAATAGATATTTTATATTTAAACCAGTTGGCTTAAATTGTCAAATCTAAAAATAGAAATATCAAGTAAAATATAACTTTTATATATTATCAAATTATTAAAATAGTTATATCTTTACAAAAGTAATATTGGTTTAATAATATTTTTTAAAATTTTTTACTGAATAATCAATAGATAAAAGAAATAATAATTAAAATTAATTAAATAAAATATAATTCAGTTTTATATTCAAATATGATATTGATGTTTTTGTAAATTAAGTTATAAAATTTAATTACAATTAAATTAAAAATAAAGGTTTTATTTTATATAATTTTTTTTTATATAGTCGATTGCAACTTTATAATTATTAGAAAAGTCAAAAATTTTATTTTTATATAATTTAATTAAAAAGAATCTGTAATAAATTTTTGTAATCAAGTATATTTGAATTCTAAACCTTTATCTAATGATTTATAAAGTTTTATTACTAAGTTATAGATTTATAGATCTTAATATATTAATATTTGAATTATAAAAAACATTTTTTATATAATAAAAAATAAGTATATATATATATTTGTATTAATAATAATAATCATTAAGTTTTCACAACTCTTCTCGCTGATCTCTTGACCAACATTCCAAAACAGCATTCAGACTAAAGCTTGTCTTTATTCTTAACAAAACCTATATATTTTCTTTAATACAACTTGACAGACCTTGGCAAGACACTTCCATACCCTCCACTGTTTTATTTATCTCTTCAACAAAGTATAAACAAGAAGGTTCCTTAGTTTTTACTCACCCAAACTCCGATGGCAAGAAAGAGTTTTCCAGGGAAGAAGACAGTTTATTTGGCTTTCCTCCTTCTTTTCACCGCCGTGATATCAGTATCTCTATCAGGAAGGACAACTCCAAAAGCCGAAAGGTTGTTGGATATCTTGGTTTCCAGAAACCTCCACAATATGAATACAGCTACCTTCCTAGCGTGTTTTCAAAATTCTTCAGTTTTTCTGGAGAAATTTGCCTACCTCAGTTTGACCCTGAATTTTTGGTTACACCGGATCTGCTGGGTTTCCATTGGCTAAAAAATTGGATTGGACAATAATAAACAAATAACAGATAAACAAAACAAGAACATGTCCCTATTCGTACTACACAATTCTGATGATGTCATCACTTCAGACAGGAAGAACAAGGCAATGAGATGTCTGTTTTAATATAGTTGGGCTTGTATGCATACCCCTCTACCTCACCCTTTCCTCTTCACTTTTTTTTATTTTTTTCCTATATTTATAAATACAAACAAGGTGGACAGAATGTTTTTCCCCATGAGATTTTTTGGTTCTAATTCATGGTTTGTGGAGGACCACAAACTGTAAACCACTCAGCAAAACCTTCAACATGACTCCTCCTGCCGTAAGGGCTACCAAGCTCGTCAGCAATATTCACCATTCTTATCTTTAGTGAAGGTACTCAGTTGGTAACATTTCTAGAATAGAAGACTCTCCTCAAGACATAGCCTAATTTTGGAAGAGTTGCGCCTTTTTAAATAAGCAGCCTATGTTTGAAGTTAGGCACTATCTAAAGAATTGGATCATCAACCCTGCCATAGGCTTTAAGGTATTGGCTAGACCTAAGTTCCATCCACTTTTCAAATTGTAATCTCCCAGGCAGATACCTAGACGAGAAAATATTTCAAAGTGCTAGCAAGGACAACAGTATTAGGTTTCCATCCAAGTATGAAAGGATTGTATTTAGACCACAATGGAACTCTATTTTCTTGGGTACAAGAAATAAGTGACTGAAATCGTGTCATCTAGTTAATATAATCACTTTAGAAAGATAGTGACAATTGAACCTGGGGCCTTGGACAATTGGAATAAATTAATAAAGCTAGCTGCCGAAACCATTTCCCTCTGCTATAACTATTAAAGTTGCCGAAGAAGAAGTCTCCCCTCTCCCTTTTGAAAAGAATAAAGACACAGTACTCCGATGGA